GACAGAGACCACTGCAAAGTGCCATGGGGAGGAAGATATGGACTTTTGGATTATGGATTTTTTTGGAATAACCACTAGATTGAAACTTCCAGGAGTGAAGACCCCTGGCCCCTGTAATATATCTCTTTACCAATGATTTAATGTGCTTTTACATAGCAGAGGCTCCAAAGTTCAGTAGTAGTCAAGTCCTTTTTGCTGAAACAAAAGGATCTGCATAGAGATGGGAAAATCAGTTATTTATCCAAGTTATACAATATAAGGCTGGCATTCTCCCTGACCCCCAAGAGCAAAGCAAGGGCTCTGCTGCCTCTGGGCTAAAAGATAAAATGCACTGTGGCTTCGTGTCTTGCATCTTTCGGTTTTCCTCAGAGGCCCAAATGCTCCCGTGCAAGCTGATTGATCTTTCCTGTCTTTCCATGCAGCAATCTGTCTACCCAACCAGTTCCGATGCGCCAGTGGCCAGTGCAACCTGCTGAAGCAGCAGTGCGACTCCTTTCCAGACTGCATCGACGGCTCGGACGAGCTCATGTGCGGTGAGATGTGCTGCCATTCAAATGTGTCCTCCGTGTCCTGGCGCGATGCCTGGCACCCCTGCCCTGCCCTCTGCCCAGCGCTGCTGCTCTAGGAGAGCACCCACACTTGGAGTTACCCCTAACTGTAGTCATGCTCATCCAGGCTGATTGGGTCTGTGCAGGAGGAGGAGTGTGAGGTGTAGCCAGCCCATAGTGCTGTTCTTCAAGGTGAGGCAGCAACAGCAGTTGTGAAGATCAAGTAACATCTGGATTTCAGTTCAGGATAGTTCTAGAATGCTGCATGGGATATAACAGTCTTGTGATTTATGGGTCTGCTTTCACGTCCATACCCAGGGGGACCCGATTCCAGCCTGCTGGATGGCTTGGAGCTTGTGGAGCTGCTGTTGAGCTTGAGATGACTTTTAAAATATGCATTACACGAGGAAGCTGAGGGTTAGTTACATGGAGGAGCTAGCATGCACAGCACAAGTGTCCCACTCTTGACTGCAGGCAGAAAACGAATACAAGGAGAGACCTTGAGTTTTCTGGACAGATTGTTACTCTGAAGTCTACTGGCAGTCGGTCTGTGCAAGTTACAGTACCCTGACGACAGCTCCGACTTCGTGCTCTTAGCCTGTAGCTGGCATCATCTGGATGACTCGTGGGACTACCTTTTTGCCCATCTGGGTGACAGGAGCATGAAGTTCTCCGGCAGCGGGGCAGTAAAAGCAGCCCGGGGTGGCTCAGCAAGACTCAGTGGCAATGTAGCATTCCGGCTCCAAGGTAACCGCGGAGCCAATCCACGCGCCATTCATTCTGAACTGACACCCTGTGTAGCGCAGAAAAGTGCTGCTCCTGCTGCTTAATAACGTGGCCTCTAGGTCACTGGCTAATTGCACGGGTTTTAATGCCTCACAATTATTTTCTTTTTTACTTTAATACCTTAGAGGTCTGTAAGGTTTGAAGCAGGGAAGGCAGCTGTCAGTATGCTGTACCAGTGCAGGCTACACCGCTGGCATGAGCGGAGGAGTCAGCAGGTCCTGCCAGTGTGACCTTGTTTCTTCTTCCCATCCTCATCGGGAGGGTGTCCAGCAAGGAACTGAAGGGAAAAGAGCCCAAATGTTTAACAGAAGAGGCCAGAATAGCAACTTAATAAAAGAATCTGTTTAGCTCTCCCGCTGGCAGTTTCAGACTGAACATGCTTCTCATGCTTCTCCCAAATCTTCCATTTATCTCATGACCCTCACCCAATTCTCTACAGTTTCCTGGATACTGTAAAGTTAGTGGGTTCATTTAGTTTATTTTCTTTCTGCATTTGGCAGACTACTTCTGTGCTATTAAGCTAATGCAGTGGTTTCCTGTTTGCATTTTGGGTCCAGTCCTGCAAATAGGTCTTAACTTTTAAATGGGTCCCTGTAGATATAGGACTTTCTCCTCTGGAGTCTTTTTGTGGGACAGAGCCCTTTGTGGTTTCTTGCCTGACTGAGGGAAGGATTCAAGTAGGGAGTAAAAATGATTGTGACTTTCTAGCTAAGGAGTTTGCATTAGAAAGAAGCCAGGTTTTACCAAAATGAGTTTTCTGTGTTTTAAATCGACTCATTTGGGAATATGTTCTAATTTTGACTACCTTTTTTTTCATAGTCTGTATTAATTTTGATATCAAGTGAGATCCTTAGCTGACATAAAAGCTTTCCTGCACTAGTAAGGGCAAAAAGCAGATGAAGAGTTTGAGAGAAATGAAATCTTGATGCTGAACTGCTGAGTTTATTTGTAGTATTGTTGTATTTCCCTTAGCTTCCTTCTCTAATTTCAGTCATTTTTCATTCCTGCCCGACAGTCATCTAAGATGGCATAAATCTTTCTCCAGGATCAATGCAGCAATGTTATGTATATTAGGTAGCCAAGACTTGAATAGTATATGAGCCACTTGACTTCCTGCAGCCACACTAATGGGACCTATAGTTCAATCTGATCACATAACAGCCTACAGGCTTTGGCCATTTCCATTTTCAGTCTTTTACTTTGTGCACGTAGATAGATAATGTGTGTGTGTATAAAAATACACACACTCTCTCTATATATTTGTGTATTTGTGTTGTTCCCTTTATTTGCACAAATATGTGAACAGCAGAAAAAAATCTTTTGCTGGAGAGTGTCACACATGCAAAACACATGGAGGTGTCAGGTTTATTGGGCAAGAATTTGGCATGTGCTACCCACAATCAGTGGGCGATGTGATATGTGGTTCATCTCAAATTACAGCAGTATCTTTTATTATTCAACACTGTGCTGTGTAGGGAGAAAGAAATAAGAGGTAGAAGTGCTTGAGATGATAGGAATTGTGTTTTCCTCACAATTTCTAAGATCTTTTTGAAGAAAGCAAGTCATTTAGAATAGTTTTCCTTCCTAAAATGTCACTATTTTGGGGGTATTTTAGCCAGGAAGATGCCCAAAGTTTGATATTATACTGTCCCTCCCCTAAATTCTTTCAGTGTTTTAACATTGTTGTGAGCTGCAATGTTTTTTTTTTGAGAGACCAGACTGCTCTCTGATTAAGGACTTAATGTTTATACGTATCCTATATCTTTAGCCAATACAGTTCAGAGGGAAAAGAGAAAACTTTTCAGTCTGTTATTGCATCAAGATCATTGCTTGCAACTGTTTAAAAAAAAAAAAAAACTTTTAAGTGTTAAAGCAATCCTGATATGAGAAAAATCCTTAGAAAGGGAAGACCTAGGCATGAAGTTTAATGCTGTAATTCAGAATATATGAAATCATATCTGCTTGAGTTTGATACAAAAACTTTCAGAGACACTGTGTGAATGATTGTGAGTTTGACTGATTTGCTGCACGTGCTCCATCATATATCTTGTCCTGTGTTTAATGACTTCCTCTTTTTTTTGCCTCTTTCCAGAAAAAACAAAGCCAGCCTCAGATGAGCCACAGCCACACAGCAGTGCCATTGGGCCTGTCATTGGAATAATCCTGTCCCTCTTCGTCATGGGAGGCATGTACTTTGTTTGCCAGCGAGTTGTGTGTCAGCGCTACGCAGGACCCAACAGCCCTTTCCCGCACGAGTACGTCAGCGGCACCCCTCACGTCCCGCTTAACTTCATTGCCCCGGGAAGCTCCCAGCACGGCACCTTCACCGGTAAGGATGGCAGGGACCCGGCACCCCCTCGATCCCACTGCGTCTCCTGCCTCGGGCGGTTTGGAGGCTAGCGAGGGTTCGGGAGGCGGCATGTCCAAGGACACAAGTTAGATGCCTTTGCCTCAGGCAGGTTTTTGGTATGGTGGTTTTTGTGCTAGGCTAGCTCTGTTCGGGAGCCTAGAAAGCCAGAAATCCAAAGCTGTAAGAGCAGATGTGGACAAGTCTGTGTGGTGCTGCAGTCTGTCCACTTGTTGCCTGAAGTGTCTCTGCAATGAAAACATCCCCTTCGGTTTAGTCCATCTCAGAGACAGATTTTCTGTTTGTTTTTTGGACAAAGTATTTATTCTCTCTGAGAGTACTTCTCATCTGTAAAGCATGTTCCTTTACCTCACACAGGAATCAAAACATGTGCTCAGGGCAGTGCACACAGCTACACTGCTGAGATAGGAGAAGGCCTTAAAGTATACAGGATGTTCAGCTAAAAACAAGAGCTTAGAAACCTAATGTAGCCATCAAAGAAAACACTTAATTTAAAATCATTTAGGAATGTAGAATACACAGTTCGCAGAGAAGGTATCAAGTTCTTAAATACGAAGCTCTGGAGAAGAAGAGCATTTCTTGAAATTATTCAGAAATCTGACAAGTAAATGGTCTCCTTTAACCCTGCCAGGCAGGGTTAGAATACTCATGTATGACCTTTTTTTGAATGTGCAAACTATTATTTTTTTCTACTTTTGAGAATAGCCAGACACAAATTCAGTTCACCCGCCTGTGCGCTTTAATGACTGTGGTCAACTGTTGCTCCTTCAAGTGTGTTTTTGGGATTATCAAGAGGTTTTGAGGGTGGGAAATCAGATTTGAAGATGAAAAGCAGGTGAAAAGCCACCTTTTCAGGGGTCTTTTAAACTTGTATGGATTTCCCACTATCTTTTTCTTAATTGAGGCAAGCATTTTTGTTTAATGGTCTTCCTTTGTACCTTGCTATATACTAGGGTAAACTTACTTGCTTATTCTCATTTGCTAGCTTTTTCTTACCTAGAGTAGACTTGTCATAGCAACACAGAGCCATGAAATTTAGAACGGTTCAAAATCTCACTTAAGTGTTGATGCTAAAAGGATGATGGACGTTGCTAGTAGCACAGCAGTTTTGAAAAAGCAAAATGCTATTTGATGTAGTTGATGGTCAAAATTGAAGTCACCCTGCTTATAAGAAATCTTTCCCAGGTCTAAAAAATTTCCATAAACTTCCAAACTAAACTCTTGTCTGAGTACTAAGTAGTCTGACAGGAAGAAGCTCAAATATTCTCTGATTTAAGTACAAGCTGGTGTTGAACAGCTTGGAGAATGTTGTCTTCTCTTTTTTTCCTATCCTCCATGTTTCCTTCCTTTTGCCTTTGTCAGTTTTCAGTTTAAGCAGTGATTTTTATGTCTTTTTTTGCCCCAATAAAAGGATTTCATTTTTCTTATTCAAACAACTGCAACTGAACTTCTTTGCATGGGAATAAGAAAGTTTCCTTGTGAAATGTATTATGATTTTTGCAAGCTTTGTTTATTTGGAAAAAAAAAGTCTTGGTGAAGTCCTTGGGTAGAAAGTCGGGACCAGCTGTTCTGGAGATTCCTGCCTCAGCAGGCTGGAAGGACAGTCTGTGGGGAGCTCGGTGCCGCAGCGAGACCGTGGGTGGGAGTTTTTTTTGGCAGGGAGTGGTGGTTGTTGTTGTTGTTGTTTTTTTGCTTATATAATAACAAGTTGAAACTCAGCTGAAACTCTGTTGTTCCTAGCAATCCTGAAGCTGTTATATAAAACATCATTTGCAGAGTGACAACTAGCACAGTTGCCAAGGCTTTGCGAAGCGGAGGAGCCGCTTTTTGCTTTGTGCTGCTAGGTTAAATTGTGGTTTGCTTAACTGTGGTTTCCTCTGTCTTGCTGCAGGCATCTCTTGTGGGAAGTCTATGATCAGCTCCATGAGTCTCATGGGAGGAAGCAGCGGTGCCCCCCTATATGACAGAAACCATGTTACTGGAGCCTCTTCAAGTAGCTCATCCAGCACAAAAGCCACTTTCTACCCACAGGTATGTTGTGCAAACAGACCCCTCAGTTAGCTAGCTCCTGCTGAGGACATGGAAAAGGAAGATGAAAACTTGCATTACTGAATCTAATGCTAATAACAGCTGCTCTTGGGAGTTCCTCTTGATGTTCCTGGCAATAGATTTAGGTGAACCACCTCTGCTGCTCTTTGTGAATCATGATGTCATTGGCCCAATATGCTGCAGGCACCCGTGGCACGAAAAGATAAACACGACCTGAGCAGGAAAAAAAAAGTCTAATGAACCAGCTTGGCTTGCTGTTTATCTGAAACACTCACTGCTGACTCAGAAAACCAAGCATGAACAGAAGGAGAAAACACTGGTACCTGCATGCCACCTTACTGTGCTTCAGTCTTCCCAGCTCTCCCCATTTATGTTTTTGATTGGTTGAATATGTCAGCGTTTTTAGTCCTCCAGATCAGAATTTCATTAATTTAAAGGAGCATGGGTGGAAAAGAAGATCTGAAAACATATAAACTGTTGTGTTATGTATAGGCATTTTGACTGACAGTGTTTTATCTAAAGGCAACTGTGCTTTCTCCCCTTTGTTTTGGAAAGATAAGGATGAAGGAGAGGGGCTTGTGAGCTTATCTCTTGATGAGGAAATATTGGTTAGCTCTGTATTCCTTGTTACCTTCTTGGAAAAGTCATCAAGAAGCTAGTAAAGATTAGCAGGTGTTTCTTAGCCTACCCCAGCAGCCCTCCTCACTTCTGTGCTCAGTTTGGCCCCTGCTTCCCCAGAGGCTCCATAACTTGCCAGACAATTTCATGATAGTGCCAGGTTGTTGTCAGTGCTATGCTAAAAAGCATGTATAGAAAAAAGAAATGGGTACACTAATAGGAAAAAAAAATGATAAATCTGGAAAGTGCAAAGAGGCCCCAGAGCTGATCTGTTTGTGCCTTTCTATGGGAACTGGACAGGCCAAAAATGCGACTCCTTCATCAGATAGTGGCCTAAACTGACCTGCCCGTGTTCCTGGGAATCTTTTTATGTGTTTTCCTCTCCGGGCCATGTGACCTGGGGCCTGTCGGGATAGCATCAGCCTTTCCCTGGAGAGGGGTGGCATGCCAGGTTCTCCTAAGGAAGCTGAGGCGCAGCCTTTGTTCCACAGATGGTACTGCTTGATCCCGGTATTCTCATCAATTCTACCCGGTAGCTAATTACCCAGTTTGAGTTTCATAATTAAGAAGAGGTCTGAGGTCCTGGCTGCCTTGGTTTTCCTCTGCTGAACTTGTTCTGGGTGGTGGTGTCCATGGGTGGCCCTCGGCAGAGGATAAGGGCCAGGGAGGAGCCGATATGGAGCTGCGCCAGTTGGTTATCTGGGAACTGGGCTGCAGGCATCCCGGCGGATGCCATTTGCTGTATTCCATGCGGATGGGAAGTGCTGGGTCGATGTAGGAGAAGATCCAGGAGGAGCAGGCAGGCGTCCTTCCGAGGAGGAGGAGGATGAGAGGAGAGATGCGGTGGCTCTGGCCGGCCAGGGCTCCGCTCCCAGCAGGCTGCGAGCAAGACGCCCACCTCGGCAGCAGCGCCGCTCCGCGCTGGAAGTGCCAATGTCCTGCCCACCGTGCCAGGGGTTCCACTTCCCGGAGCAGAGCTCCTCATGCGGGAGGAGGAGCCTTTGAGCACTGCCTTTTTCTCGGAGATAATGAACTCTCCATAGGTGTGAGGATGGCTGCGTATGTGCGCACGCAGGCTAGGGCAAGTCCTAACTATTCACAGCTGCTGGGCTCTTTGCATCGCTAGCTTTGCCAAAACGATACGTTTATGTAAGAACAGTAAAAAGGAAGCATTGAGGGAAGGATGGAGTCATAATAGTTATTTCAAAAAAAGTTGGCCTTCCGACCTGCATATATATGGATGGGGGATGTTTAGGGGCTGCAGATGGAACAGTCTTTGCTCCTATCCTCATCTGCTGCAGATGAGGCCAGCCCTTATGTCCAAGGAGCTGCTGAGACTCAGCAAAACTAGGTTCATCTTCCTGCTTTAGGAGGAGTAATTCCTACTGTGAAAGGCCTTCAGGGCACCTAAACCTGGAAGCAGAATGGATTTCTCTGACTTGTGAAGTGCATTAATCCATCCAAGCTGCAAAGGGAGGAAGCTGAAGTAAGGATGAGTTGATAGTGACCTGTTTAATGCATAAATAAAACTTTTAAAAGAGCTTTACAATTAACAGAAACTTCTGCCCTGCTTGTTCTTCACCTTCCTAGATCTTGAATCCACCTCCTTCGCCAGCAACAGATCGCTCCCTGTACAACACGGAGATGTTTTACTCCTCAAACATTCCTTCCCCCACAAGATCTTACAGGTATGGCTGGGACAAGGGGGTCTGGTGCTTCTTCTGTCCTTTCATTCTGGATATTAAGCAAATGCTCTTGTTCAGACTGTACCTTGTTTTTAAAAAGCAGCTTTTCCCTCCCTTGATAAGCATCCGTTTGAGCGGATGTCGTTCTAGCTGCTGTGTTAAATGTCAGCGTTTTGATTGAAAACCCGAGTTATGCAGCAGGAACGAGTGGGGTCCCCACACCCGGCCGTTCCTTTTTCACCTTCCTCCTCCCTTATTCCCCGAATGGCAGTT